ATAATCTTTGTAACTTGATGTGAGAAATTACCTTAATGGCTAAAGCACAAAAAGTAATGTCCATATTTGATTTTGTTATGGAATGAAAATTTGTATGAATTACTGTACAAGAGTACAGGTACTAATTTTGTTTGTCCATAAAAGTGACCTCTGTTTCACTGTTAGAGCTGATTAGTCACATTGCGAGAGATTTATATCCTTTTGCGACAGAGTGGGAAAGTCATCTGATTGATGTATATAATATTGGGTGGGAGACTTGGCATGTCTGAGTAGGAATCTTTGAGAATTGGGACCCAGTCAGCCTCTCTGGTACCAGCACTGAAAATGTACAGTAGATTTAACTTTAAAAGTATAGGATAGTTCTGCTATCTTATTAGTAATTTTTATGATAAAATCGCCACAAAGAAAGTATTCATAATTACTCTTAATCTAAATATGTAAGCAGAACTAAATGAGATGAAATGAAGAATTAAGTTTTCCCACTGTGACACTCCTACGCTTCACCTTCATCAGCTAATAAGTAAAATTGCAGAACTGTGATTTGGGCTAGAAAGAACCACTGAGGATTACAAAACTTGTTTGATAAAATCAAAGTTTATTGATTGTTTTAACTCTTGAGTAATGGCATAGAGAGAACTGTTGATTATTCATGACTCTGATTTTGTCTCTGCCCACAAATATCAACTTGAAAACCATTTCTGAATAACTTTAAGGGTAGGGCTTTTTACATACAGAATATAAAAATTTACTAGTAAGCTGGAGATCTGGAATTTTGCCCAAATAATAGGTAACTCCTCAATATATATGTATAACTGAACATGTTACCCCAGCAGGAAGTCAGATTTGGTATGATGGGGTGGGGGCAAAGATGATTGCGGGAATTTACTGCGTGAGAAGGTTGTGGGAGTGAACATGTAATAAGAAAGGAGATGGAGAGATGAACAGCTGGTTTCCTGTCGGTGTGATAGTCACCCTTGCATGTCCAGGATGTCATTTTACCCCTGGGTTGGTGAATATATTTCTTGTGTTGTAATTGGCTGTAGAGTTATATGACGTATTTTCCTCCTTCGGTTTAAATAGGTTGGTAGGTAAGGCAAGTTGAGGTTAATTTAACCTCATGGAGGAAGGGATATACGTATACATGTTAGGTGACTTACTACCCTCCAGTCAATCACAGTACTTGTATATTATCATCCTTGGAAACATATGAAGATGCAACCAGGCTGGAAATACTGTACTCCAACTGTACAGTAGTAAAAAAAAATCATGAAGTTCCACTGTTAATTGTCTGGTGTCAAAAGTATGGTGGTTGGCTTCTAAATGCATTATTATATTTTAAGTAGGAGTCCCACATTGTCTGGGAAGCCTTTACTTGTGTGAGTGACAAAGTTTGGCATAGCTTTTAGTTAAAAAAACGTTCGAAAAACACATCAAAGTTTAAAGGTGAAGGAGTTTTGGGGTTTGGTAGCATTTGCTGTTTACATGTACAGTTCGAAATGAGTAAATTCCATATCTGAGTAACTTGAAAGACAGTACAATGTACATGTATTACAAGGATTGTTACGTATATACTGTATAGTATAAGAAAATCTTTTGAATAAATGTAATGTTCACATATTCAGTATGAGACTTGTTTATGCACAAATGTAAAGAACTCAGGTTGGGTTTGTGATCTGTTATTTTGCAGTGATTTGTTTTAGACAAGGGACGAATTGGGTGGGTAGGGGGTGCCTGTATTTGTAGAGAAAGGGGTAGAGTGTACACAAATGCCCTGGCTCTGAACATTGTGTAACAGACAATATGATTACAGCTTCATTTCAACATTAATAAAACTGGATAAAGATGAGCTTAGCCCCAAGTAAAAGCCCGGCTCCCGTGGCCGCTGTCGGGGACAAGCAGCCAATACTTATTATATTCAAACTTCCAATTGGTGAGTAATATTCATACTCAGCATATGTTATCCAATTAATCAGTTGTTTTAATAGTAGAGAATTTTTCAGTTCTTGTATCATTAAATTGGTGATGGTGGAAGAAATAAAAATTGTGTATTGATTCTCATTTTCTGATCTGTAAATTATTAAATAATGAATTTAAGGTACCATAAAATTTTAATGTAAATCCAAACAGTAAGACCTACTCCAAAGTTTGTTTGAAGTGTACAGTATATTAAAAAAAATATATATACAGGGTATATGCTTTTGTAATACTGTACTTACCATTATGTCTTTTAAAAAAATTCCAAGTACAGTATTGTATTATTCATGTTCACTGAAACAGTCCTCTTGCCCTGTCCTTAGTACATCACAAACAAAATTATGTTTAGTAAAAAATATACTGAATACTGTATATATATAATTTACAGAAATTATATTCATTTATGATCAATATGACTCACATTAAAACTTAATGGTCTTGATGCAGCACGAGGAAGTTACAGACCCCAACGTCCTATGGTAACTGGCACTTCAAGCGTTACCATACGTGTGGGTTCAACAAGCAGAGAACTCGGCACACCTGTTCTTGAATCTCCTTCAAGTCTTCCAAACCCTTTGCCTTCTATTAGTTCTCCTTTGCAGAACCATCCTGCATTTACATCCCTTTCCTTTCTTTCATCTGCCTATAGCCAACAAACCTCTAAAAGCTCCCAAAGTAGTGTTGAGGACAGTGATGAATATATAGAGAGGGCTAGTAAGAATATCCTAAAAGGTCCAAGGGATAACTTCGGTAAGTTAGGATCTGTGAAGTTTGCCAAGAAATCAAGATATCCTTCTCCTTCCTTGGTTAGTAATGGTAGTAATAAGCCAGAACACTTAGGTACTAAGCTTGTATCACCAGTACCAAAGCCACGAACACTAGTACCAAAAACTGAAAATAATAACACTGAAACAAAAGAACCTCATGACATTAACACTAGTTATCCTCATTCTAGGATGGAACTGAAACTGGATTTGAAGCCACTGTATGACTTTAATTCTAATGTGACAAAGGGCATGGTGAAGTATCAACCCATACCAGATATTGTGTCTATGACCCAAAAAGAGGGGTCACTGTCTCCTATAAATGACATCAGCAAAAATGATAGTAACACGCCAACATTTAGAATCAATAAGTCGATATCATTACATTCATCCCCACAGTCTCAGTTGGAAATGAAAAATGAGGACTCCAAAGATAGACAAGCCCTTCTTGATCGAAAATCAAAGATATTAAACCCACAAGCATCAGATTCTACCTCAAGACAAATACTGAAACTAACAAATCCTAAAAAATCTACTATCACAAAAACAAAAAATGCAAATACTTTGGATATCTCGAGTTTCCCAACTCAAGTTTCCCTAAGGCCAGTTTCCCATACACGAATGTCAAAGTCACAACAGTTGTCTACAGGAAACCCACTACATATGGAATTGATTAGCAAGTTTGCAAATTCTTATATGACTGCAGAAAATGTTCCTTGTCTTCGCAAAGTTAAAACAAAGGAACCCAAAACTGTAAAAGAACTCTTCTCAGACCATAAATTCACCTTCACTGTGGATAATTCTAAAGAATTGCAAGAAGTTAATCAGAATATCACATCTCGGGAGAAGGCAAATTTGCAGAACAAAATAAAGCTTGTGAAAATATCCCCCAATATGCCGCATATGAAGTATGAGGAAGCAGTTACTCCTCCAGCAGCTGCTGAACCTCAAAGAAGAGTCAGGAAAAATAATACCACTTTTGAGTCATCAAAAAATTCTGCTGCCAACTTTCCTGTCCAGAATACTGTTGTTCATGGTTTCACTGGACACACTACCAATCTTGGCCCTGGCCTTATCAGTCACCATGAGTCCCTCAGGGTTCCATGGAAGGCCATAAATGATGGTTCAAATGATGGAAACGCATTTAAACGAGGAGCAGATTCTAGAAAGTCATATACCAAAATAGTATGTGTTGTCAGCCTGTAAATGGACTCCTTTAGCTTTGGTTGAAATGGGAAACTTTTGGGTTGAATAATATTTAACATTTGCCTCCAACATGAACTGAAAACATGTACAGTATTTAATAAGCTGTACAGTATATACTGTATTTCTTCCTGTTGCTATTGGCTGTTGATCAATCTTTAATAGTTTTCTGTCAGTAATTAATTTCCTTCCCTTCAGGTGTTAAAGGCTCATGGCAGGAGTGTACTAGGCTGTAGGGCTTCAAGGCATTTGTGACTAACCTGCTACCAAGACTAATTTAGGTATAGTATAGTCGAGTCAAGGGTTCACTTAGCTTGCAAACTGCAGATGAAGTTTCCTTGCTGCTGCTGCTGCTGCTGTTGCATATTATCTCCAACATCAGTTAACAATGTACAGTAAGGGTCTCCACATACACATCCTGGGTACTGATAGCTTCCACATTCGTATAACTGCAGTCCTTACAGACATTAATTCTGAGACCAGGTTGTGCCTACCTTTTAGATTACGTAATCTTTTGCACCAGGTAAATGTGGAACAAACAAGCTTCACGAGAGTATCTCAGACATACATTTACCCTACAGCTTTAAGGTTGTAGCATACAGTGCTATCCAATTTTAATTGTTTAGTTACAGTATTGTGTTGGGTTAATAGGGATGTTCAAGTACAGTGTGTGTATATACTAACCATACTGCCTCATGTTATTCAACCACAGCAGAAAGCTTGGAGACAGCTGTACATACCAGTTACACATATGGCTTAAAAATGTATATACCTTACAATACAGTATTGATGCTTTTCATTGCAGCTGTTACTTACATTTACAGTACTGTACAGTACCTGCTTTACAAAGCTAACATAATTGAATATGCTAGAATGGCCTTGTATGTTAATTAATGAACACTTTATATGAATTTATTTTAATGATAATTCTGTTCCAAATTAACCAAATTCCAATAGAAATCCCCAGTACAGTATATATACTTGCTTGTGCTTGCCCATTCTGCTTGGGAATGCATAGTGTAGTTGTAGATGTAGTAACCATCCCTGTCTCCCTTACAGGTGGCTTGGCAAGCTACACCCCCAGCAAGATTCAGATTGGTAGCACCTTCGAACTGGGAGTGTCTCGAACAGCCCCACCTGTCCAAACCCCACCTCCCGCCCCTCCTGCCCAATCAGAGAGGGTCGAAGAGGAATATCTGCGACCTGCCGATGAAACTGAAACCGTCACATGGAGTGCTGAGAGTACGTCAGATATGCTCTTTTGAAGTGAAACCATCCAGTTAGTGTCATGCTCAATTTTTGTCTCCAGTAGGTGTAAAATAATGACCATCTAGCTCAGTCAAAGTCTTCAAAACTACAGTGCTTCCCTCTGTGAATGGTGTTCCAAGAGTCTATGCAGTCAAGACTGCCCAGTTCATGCATTTTGGAAATTGATGTTAGCATGATGGGTTGAACAAGGAATTTGCAGTGATATGTAGTCTTGATGTATGGTTTACAAGTGGATGGTTATGCATTTTTCCATACTTTGTAATATAGTTAACAATTTATAAGGACTTTTAAAACAACACAGTAGACAAATAATGAAGTACTTTTTGTTTTCAACATTTTTAGTTGTTAAAAAAAAAATACACGGATTAGCTGTACTCATTTTGTGATATACAAACTATGAATATATTTTATTTTATTTCTTAATTTCAACAATCCTTCATGAGACTGTTTAACTGCAGAATATTTCTTTTGTCCCAGGATTGGTACTTTCTGTATATACAGGGATGGCTTGAGGTAGAATTCAGAGAATGACTTAGTCCCTCCCAATAATGAAGTTATTGAAGTACTGTACTTGGTATTCAGCATTGTTAAACACTGCTGGATGTTACAGTCATGTTGTGTGTGTGATTACGAATGTTACAAACACATGATTCATCAAAACTCAAGTTAATTAACATACATCAGTTTCTCAAAGCCTGACAACGAAAACTGTATTCTATAAAAAGCACCACTTGATAGTGTATGCTTTCTCATCTCAGAAATGTTATAAAATATTCCTGTCTAGATTGTAGGTATTACTTGAAATTTTCTTGTCTGTGTAGCCAGTTCAATGACTTCTATAAACTTGTTTCTGTGTTATTTGTAACATGCTTCAATGTTGTTCCATATTATTCCTGTAATGATGTCTATGTCTACTTTTGTAGACTGCTGATGTAGGTCATTCCAGAAAAGGGGCCATTTTTCTCCTTGTAAATAAATGCTTTACTAAAAAAAAAATTTTTTTATGAACATATTGCATCATGTAGGGCATTAAGCACTCATTTAGGCACTCATTTTACATAAGTCTTCAGGGGTTGACTCAGATTCCTATGTGACACTAGAGAAAGGTACCGGTAAATGATGGATGGGTAACTATTGTCATGAAATGAGTTTAGTTGGATGGTTTATTACAGTATTGCAAGGTAGAACATGTATTGTATTCCATTGCTAGTCTCGGCTTATTTTTGTTTTGGGGATACCAATGATAACAGTAATGGTTGATTGATATGTGATGTGTTCACCATTATTGAACATGGGTCAGATGACAGTCAGTATTGAACCGTAATTGCATGGGTCAGATGACAGCCATTATTCAACCCTGATCATGGGGATTAGAATAAACTGGTACAGTATATACTTATATACTACAAGGAAGTGTTTGTGAGGGGGAGGGAAGGGGTGATGACTTGAAAGAAATAACAGCCCCGTTGATAGCTTGTAGGCAGTAATTCCAATTTGCTGTTAAAGTAGAGTATCTTGAACCTGATGAGCTCCTTTTACTAACTTGAGTTAAAAGCTACTATAATTCACATTCAGTACTGTAAGGAAGTTGTTTTTGTTTGACAATTAATGAAAGATTTGTGTAAAATATATTCCAAACTAGAATGACTATGTACTGAACTAGTCACTGGTTTAGTGTACTGTGTTGATAATTCTTAAGAGGCATGTGATTTAGTCTCATTTTCATTCTTATTCACTTAATATTAGTACTGTACCACAATACTTATTTTCCATGAAAAGATAAGATTTGAGTTACATTAAATAAGAAACTTGTGTGTAACTTATAGGGTTTATTAATATAATGTCTCATATGATATACTTCGGTATTCTGTAATGTATATACAGTATAACAATGCAAATGTTCCTGCTGTATGTAATTAGTGAAGTGTGTTTATAATACCATCAGTGTAGTTGCTACTTCAGATACTGTTACGGTACTTTTGTAGCTAAAAATGAACACTTACAATGCCATTTCCCAAAGAGTAGGGTGATAACTTCCCAGGCAAATTCTGGGTCCTTGACATGACAAGAGTGATCATACCACAGTTATAATATATTACCAGTACCTGTATTGACCATCTGTAAGCTCAGTTTCATCTCGCCAGGGGAAGAAATTCGAATGCAAGTCTTGTACCATGGTGTCCCTATTAATTATATTGTAGTGTGTTAAAATTACTTTGCATGAAAGAATCTAATTTGACCTTTCAAATATGAAAAAGAATATAATATAGGACTGTAATATATCATGATCATCAAGTTTACCGAGGAACTGTCATATTAACAAAACAATTAGTGATCCCTGTTACTAACAAGTTTCTAAAATTTTCTCTTGTCAGAGAAACTGTGAGGAATTTAGATTTATGAGGTCATTAGGTTAATGACATGGCTTAGTACAGTATTAACAAGGCTTCTAATTTACCTGGCTAAATCAATCCTGTATGTTTATTATGGCAATGAGGAGACAGTAAATTCACAATACTGTATATATTGCTGTTATTTACAAAAATGTTAAACTTCTTATGACAAGATGCTACAATCTGCCAACCACCTTTTATTGTTCTTCTGCTTTGACCCAAGTGTTGGATTACCTGCAGTCCAAAAGAAATTTGGGTATTATGTTAATGTCACAAAGCAGGGTACCAGGTGGTGATAGTATTCCTCACTTGCCTTTGCATGTCACTTTTGTAAATAAATGTAAAACTATTTATTGGTATACCAATAATATACTTATGTGTCTGAAGGATAAACATGGAAAGAAAGCTGAGTTCTTTGTAAATCAGATTGTACATTTTAGTAATTTAACATTTGTGTAAAGATGAGATCAAAAACGATGTCTTTCACATTACAATAACAAAATATTTGTCCTCAGGGTAAATTTTTATTTGCTACTGAATAGTAAGGTACATTCTCGTCGTATTCCTTTGAAGCACTAGAGTGGCCCCTTCAATTGACAATTAATAGTTAGATGAAACCTGTTCCTACAAAATGTCCTCTACAATTATTACTGAGCTACCTTTCATATATTCAAGGCTACTTTAAGGCAAGCTGGGTTACTTGAGCTATTCTGCTGACCCACTAAAATATGACTGTAAAAATAGCTGTAATTAATGTGTGTATACAACTTTGTACAGATTTTGGTACAATTTTGTACTTCATTTATGTATGCTTATGATTCAAATTAGCTGGTTTTGTTTACAAGTCAGTGACAGGAAGGATTATATGTGTGTGGCTTAGCCTAACAAAGTCATGTATACTTGTCTTGTGCTGTGTTGATGTACTGTATAATGTCAATCATGTGGGAAGACTACTTGTCTAAGACAATGTCCCACAGGTTATGGTGCATTGTACAGTGTGAGTGTTATTTCACTCTCAGTAAAGAGAACGTGGGAGTTCATACTGTTACATGCAAGATGAAAGGAGTAAAAGAATGATGCAAGAAGATGTAAAACTAAAGTTGATTAGAAATGTTATGTTTAGCCTGAAATATTACTTGCAGATGAGATTGGAATGATCAAGATGTTCATTTTACATGATACATGTTGAAGATGTTGTGAGCTAGGTCTTTTATTTTATTTTACTACTAATTTTTTATTTATTTTTTTCATAAATGTCAGTCTTACTTTGCTTTATTCCCAGTACAGTTCCCGTTACTACTCAGTGTTGAGGAAGAAGCACTGTATAAAAAAAGAATGCTGTACTTCTGAGTGAGTTTATCAAGTCAGTTTTTATCATCCAGTATGATTGTGCGCCATAAAATTTTAATATATATTACTCCCTTTGTATGATACAAGTGTTGATTTGTATGTTTATAGTACTGTGATTGTATCAATAAATAGATTGTCAATATTTGGATGTTTTGAAGTATTACCCTATATATTTTATGTAAAGACAGCTGTACATATAAATTACGCTGAAATATCTTGAAAGAAAATTATTTTGATTATCTTTATAATTTTATTTGGACGATAATTTCACATCTAAAAAGGACTTGAATTACCCCTGTTTTAGAACATAAAATTTTATCAGCCTTATGTACCTTTATTATCTCTAATATGGAGTTCAGTTGGCAGAGACTCACCTTGCCACATATACAGTATTGTACAGTACAGGTTGTACCTCTCTAGTCCGGCATTCTGTGGTCCGGAACTCCCGTGGTCCGGAACGATTTTAGTTTGTCCAATAGGTAGATAGGCAGCGTTTTTTTTTTACTTATCTGAATTATTATTACAGGAGTATTAAATTTTTGCCCCTCAGGCCCCAATGTGGGTCAGTGACCTATGCCCGGGTGGGCTAATCCCCATAAAAAAAAAAACGACAACAAAGCCGCGGGAAATTAAGGTTTGTTTACATCCAGCAGTTCGGCTGCTCTCTTTCTCTCTCTCTGCTTGTCTATACAGAGTACAACATTTAACCCTTCAACATATATGAGCAGTAAATAAGCGTTGCTTTCATATTCTTATGTAGAGTAATGACGATATGTTTTCACATGTGCGCACTTACATACGCGGTCTCACTTTTTTCTTATCATTAATGGTTAGCTACTTATATTGTTCCTTTTATTAACATTAAATAACATTACAGGTACTTCAAACAACCATATTAATTTTTTTACATTAATTTTACTACAGCTACAAGCAGTGTCTTATTTTCTTCAGTTTTATATGCAGAACCAATCAGTCACTGGTTTTGTAAGCTTTAACATAAACAATGCCGGCAGCCGTCTCGTCTCATCGTGTGTTTTTATATTCCACGTATTATTAATAAATTGTATTGTTAATTTTGCACACACAAACATTAATTCAATAAAAACAAATTCAGAAACATTAATTAAAATATATATGAACAGTAAATAAGTGTTGCTTTCATATTCTTATGTAAAGTAATGACGATATGTTTTCACGTGTGCGCACTTACATACGCAATCTCTCTTTTTTCTTTACCATTATCGTTAGCTACTTCTATTGTTCCATTTATTAACATTAAAAAACATTACTTAAAACAACCATATTAATTTTACTACAGCTACAACCAAGGTCTTATTTTCTTCAGTTTTATATGTAGAACCAGTCAGACACTGGTTTTGTAATAAACGAAAACAATGCTGTGTCATTTCCTCCTGTGTTTTAATATTCTACGTATTATTAATGAATTGTATTGCTCATTTTGCACACATAAACATTAATTCAATAAAAAAGACATTCAGTAATAAACAATAATGAATCTTTTGTACATAAGAGAAATGACGCTGTTTACACAATTATGCACGTCGTCTGCACGTTGGTGGGCCGATCAAACCCGTCGAAATTCAAGTTTCCGCCGTCAATTTCTTTTTTCCAATAAAATACGTTGAATTAAAAACTCGCGAAATTTGAGAAGCTACTATTCGACATTTAACCCTTCAATATGTCTTCAAAGAGACCATGATGCAGAGAGAGTGGTGCTAGTGCTTCCAAGCATAAGCACAAGTCACTATCTATCCAGGAAAAGGGTGAATTTCCATGGTCCGGCACCGGTCAGGTCCCGAGGTTGCCGGACTTGAGAGGTACAACCTGTACTTGTAAGCCTTATGACTGAATTGCTCTTTCCAAATGCAAATTTTCAATTCTGCATACTGGATAATTGTTATATTATAATGGGATCATTTGAAGAATCGTCACCCTAGAGTGTCCACCTGAAGAATCATTACCCCTTGTTGTCCCACCTGAAGAATCATCACCCTTTGTTGTCACACCTGAAGAATCATCACCACTTGTTGTCCCACCTGAAGAAGCATCACCCCAGCCCACACCACCTGAAGAGTCATCACCCCACCCCATAATGTAGATAATATTGCAAAATACACACTATTAAATACAAAATACTTTACTCAATGTATTTCAAAATACACAATGCATACCGTATTACAATGGATAGGTTAGGTGAGGTTAGGTTTAGGCCTGAAGATTAACCACCATGGAGGGTCCTGACCCTATCTGAAGAATGGTTGCCCCAGGTTGTCTCCCCTAAAGAATTGTCACCCCAGGTTGTTCCCCTTGAAGAATTGTCACCCTGCCAAACTCTGGGATGATGATTCTTCAGGTGATCCTATAATGAACTGTAAAATATATCCTGCTGCCATTCACATGTTGGGCATACAAATGCCTCCTAACATCCATAAATTAATATTCTTGCCTTCACGGCACAAGGCAAGGCCTACATAACTGCAGGACATATTGTCCTGTTGTTTAAATACAGGTACTGTACTGTATTATGCAAACAGTACAGTACAGTAGTTGCATTTGCTACTACAGGTACTACTATTGCTAATGGTTATACAGATTTCTTCAATGACCTTTTAATTTCATTCATGCCTAATACTCTGGGAGATTTGGAAGGAAACCACTTCTGACCTTACATATGGAGCAGGTGCATGAAGCCAAGAAAACACTTCAATCTTATATCAGGTGCATCTGTAGCAGGTAACTTTTTGGTTTCAAGATACCTTTTATCTGTTTAATCAAATAAAATAGTTGATTACATCATAAGTGGAACCATGATCCTAGGGCTTTTGAGGTGACAGAAGGGTCAAGAATAGGATATGCAGACTGCCTCACTACAGTGCAGTACAGTATATGGTTCAAGATTTAAGTGGATTAAGAAGCTCTTGGGGATTTTGTGGATGCTGAATACTGTATACTGGAAGTTTTTGTTTCTAACCACTGTGTATTATATTGTACTGTGAATGGTTGCGGTTTCAGTATAAGAGTGAATTATTACAGATTAAGTACAGTATCTAGAAATGTTAGTGGCTGTATTACATCAAAATAACCTAAATGTGCCTAAAGACATTAGATATTGAAACATATTAAAATATATTGGGTTCTTCAGAGATAAGATGTTACCTGTTTTGGAGTATCAAGGGCTTACATGGTAATCATGACCGATATACCTGAAAAAGTTTTCCTGGCATACATTCAGATGGGTTACTAGATTTCATGTAAACTACACCTGGAGATAGGAATGTGTTTCTTTAATTAGAAGGATGAATTCAAGTCGGTTACTTTTAACTTAAGTTTATTTTTTATTTCAGTAAGAGAGAGTTCCACTTTAAATATCTTAATTCATGCTTGAAAGTAATTTGATGATCCTCACATGAAATGTGAGCCATGTTGGAGTCACTGGACAGGCCAAGGTCACGTCAAGTTACAAAATTGTGTAAAAAATATGAAACAGGAAAATGTATATCATGGTTCGAATCTGAAAGCTACTACCATATTTTTTGTCCATTATTTGTTTCCAAATTATACCAGCAAACTTAAAATATATTTCCATATTGCATTATTTCCCTATAACCAACCTTTTTAAATCTTCATTTTGTTAATTTTTTTCCTTTTATTAATTAACTTTCTAATTAAGCGCATCTTTATTATAAACTACCTTCTCCCTTACTTCTCGTCTCACACAAATATATTCTTCACTCACCTTGTAGGATTTCCAGTTTATCTCTTTCTTGCATGCATTTTAATTCACGTATCTTCTCTGTCATAATTGTGGAACTATCTCCCTTTTATTTTCATATATCATTCACTCACAACGGGATAACGAGGATAGATAAGGAAATGCCAATGAACACTGGCATTGTTTGATTACAGAGGTTAAATATTGTGTGAGAAAATACATCTTCGGTTCTTGGAGGTATTAATGACAAAGTTTCAAGTTACTTTCCTTGTGCACTTACCCGGAAAACCGACAATCCGTTGTGTATAGAGGCAACCAGTGTTTGCCTTAATTTTGCAGTGAACGTTTCGTTAATACAACAGTTAGAAGCAATCCTGTATGAATAAATTTCGATATTATTAATATTTGGTAATGATAAAAGATGTCCATACTACTACAAAATAATATTGCTGGTACTATTTTTTTTTTTTTGGTGTGTGTGTTTTTCGGAGAGACGATGTATGGTTTTCAAATCACCAATACTTCTTTCAGTAATCTCACAAACACATCAACTTTGAGCTTATTGTATATTTAGATAGTCCAATGCACAAACACTAAAACCATCAGGGTCATTATAAGATTAAACAACCAGATTATTACGCAAATATAAGAAAACGCAGAAATACGAGTGAACAATAATCATTACAACAAAATTAAAACAACTAGAAACCTCCTAAGATGTCCCCACACACAACGCTTCCGAGACGCCTGTGGGGTATGATATTGTTTGGTTCACACTCAGGATGGGATGGAGAAAGGAAACTCACAATGTGCTCTCTATATACATGTTGTATTGGATGTACAATGCAGCTTGGTGCTGGGAAGGCAGCATGGTTACAAGCGTGATGTAGAGAGAGCTGGTTGGTGAGGACGCTCAGAGGAGGACAGCTTGTGGGTTGCCATGCTCGCCGGCGGGAGAGAGGACCGCCAGGCAGGCGGAGGAGCGAGGACCGCCAGGCAGGCGGAGGAGGTGTTGCTGGCTGGTGTAGGTAGAGAGAGAGATCACCACGAGGTCAGGTCTTAAATAGCGGGGGTAGGCGTGGCTTAGCAGTTGACCCCCGCTCCGTGGTGTATGGCGGCGCTGGTTGACCTAGACCACGAGGCATACACTGGGGAATTGGTGGGGTCGGCTAGGCAGCGACAAACAGCGTTTGTAGGGGAGAATTCCACTACAATACTCCCCCTTCCCTCCAGGCTGTGTAGGAGACTTGTTGTCTGCAGAGTTGCATAGCACATGTGAGGCAGAACGGGCGGTGCGTGCCTCATGTGAGACAACGGCGATGGCGTGGATGAGCCGGTCGCTGGGGACAACTGTCTAGATACACAATATCTGTGGGAGTAGAGAGGGAGAATAAGGGTGTGTGGAGGCG